CTTCAGACAGAATCCACTGCAAGAAAAGGGAAATAARTTAAACTCTGCTAGCTAAATAGATGCTGAGATTCCACGCGGGAATCCAGCCTTAGGTCTTGTTGTACAAGTTRCACATATTCATCTAGGTCATAGGATTAAATTACAAAAAAAGAGCCTGAATTTCAGCTCTTCGGTGTATTTCATGTCTCCACAGAAAAATGGAAGAAGCCCCTTGCTTAATAAGGGTAAACATAAAAAACATAACCAATTCACAGAAGAATAGGAGCTCAGAAACAGAGCAAGAARGTAACAGTCAGCTTGCAAGAGGCTTTAGGCAAAGATTTTAGGCATATAAGCAGCAATGACCCTAATTCACCTGCCAAGTTGCAGAAAAAAAAAACCCAACTATTTGCCACTGTTTCTTTTTACTTCATACTATTTTAATTCCCGTTCTCAACATAAATGGAGCACTGGAAATTTTGACACTGAATTTTGGGGTTCTACAAATAACTCTGTGTCTTAGCACAGCTAAGTCCAGCATTTGTTCCATCCAAAAGTGCAGGCTTTGGCAGGGGGCAGAGAGTGTAATTTGCCAGGCAAACGTATCTCTGAAGCTTCCTCCTAGTGTTTCTCCAGAATAGCACATCTACGAAGTGATGAGAGAAACTTGATATTCATCTGATCCTCCCTGCAGAGGTAAAAGTCAAACTTCATTGTTCTGAAGGGATGAAGTCTGAAGAATCTCAATGTATGGAGCTCATGCCCGATTTTGAAGGTGGGGGGAGGGGAAAGAAGGGAGAGAGGAAGGGAGACTGACTCAGAGAGAAATCTGGCTCAAATAAGAAATCAGATTCTCATCTGTAGAACACAGTTTAAGTGTTGCTCGAGGTTCAGAAAGTTAGCMGTATTTATTGGACAACACACTATATATAGCCCATTTTCTACTCTATCTCACAAGACAGGTTCTGAGATGCAGTTATCGTCGCCATTCACTGCTAAAACCAACTGTTTTCACAACTTACTCCGCATATCTCTTAAGATCTTTTCTGAGGCCTCTAGGCTTTTTAACAATACCTATAAAGAACGTAAGAGTGAGCTATGTTTATAGTGTATCTTGCAACAGTGCCAAATTCCAGACGAAAGGCGACCGGGAAACATTTCTCCTCAGTAACGCTAAAGTACATTCCTGTACAGCATATGGATTTCTGCGCATATTATCAGCTCTTAAACACTAAACTCGGTAGGTTCCAGACCAGAAATAGCACACAGGAACTGGCAGCGGGCAGCTCTGACCGAATAGGGAAGTTGACCCCTGGAGGTCCCTTCCAAGTCTCACACCTCTATGGTTCTATGAGCTCATATAACATCAGAACACTTTCCTGTTTTTTTCACATATCTGAGTTTGCAAGAAAACTCAGAAAGCAGCACCACAAGATGCTTCAGCCAGACAGCACATTACAAATTCCTAGTGGGTAAAGCAAGAAAAGCTATAGTACAGAGCAGCTACATAGAGATGTCATTCAGCATCACCCCAGCAAGCAGTAACGTGACAATACAGTGTCCCCATCAGAATGCAGGATAAGAATATAATGTTTTTCCCTAGAYTTCTCTCTTAGGGAATAATCCACACTTTCCAGAATTATATGCAACTTTGGAAGACAGAAAGGAAGAATCAGCTCAATTCAATAGCTGCTTTCAAGCACACAATGACATTTCACAGCTAACTGGTGACTCTCCTTAATACAATTCTACGCGTAGATCGGGGAACYGGCAGAGTTCTCCGTAGTTATCTTACTTTCCTCCTAAGGCAATAAATTTCCTGCTGATKGAGATGGCACAGAATAAATAACCGTTTCTGGAAAACTGTGGTTCATTAGAAATCTCACTTTTCAAGGGCATATATTATGAAGGCATATATTGTCACTCTTCCAAAAGGGACGTGTAAAAGAAAGCCCAGCACCGCAAAACCACAATGAATGGAAATCAATTCACTAAAATGAGAGAAGATGAAACTTCCTCAGAACAAGCTCTGCAATTTTAAAAACGCCAGCATCCCTCTCTTATATATACACCCTCTACCTACAAAAAAAAATTATTCTGGTCTAAAAGAACCCAGTCTCAGAAATGTTAAGCTGGAGAATCACAAACTCAATCAAAAAAAGTAAGTAATGAAGACGTTTAACGGAAGAGTAAAGGTGTAAAACCTGACAGTCGTCTCCTCCGTATTTTCATGTTTCTTAYCCACCACAGAGGATTATTGCCAAGCAAGAGAACATTTTTCCCTTTTACKCAACAAATCATTAAGTTTCTCAGACAGGAAACCACATTTCACTACTTTCTTTTCCAACAGCAGAACACTGACATACTACTATACAGCACAAAAGTAGAACATTTCTTTTCAAAAGGCAGTCATGGCTTCAACTTTGTATCTCGTGGTACAGGTATTTTAGGAAAATTTTTAGGCACGCAAAGTTTGACACACACACACACACACATACACACACACACACCACCCTCTTCAGCCCCCACCTTTAGGCATCATTTTTATTTACTGCCCTTCTCTCTGTGGCCAGGCATATTATGAAAAGTTCTAAACATTTATTGAACACAGTAGGTTCTACTGGTAGGTGRAGATTTAACCATTTGCTTAATAGCACAATGAAGCCCACAGATGACACCAAAGAGAAACTACATTCCAGCATTTCCYGCTGAAAACACCGAACGGCAGCTGATAAAAGCATTTTATCGAAACAGCACATTCAGCGTTCTCATTAAGAAGAGAATTTCTACACAAGACAGTGCCATCCAATGCAGAACTACATCTAGAAACTCATCAAGAGGTCACGTGGGTGGTGGCCRATCTGCAGTGGCTTTGATCAAGCAAAGAACGATCTAGCAGTCACATTCGTACTAGAAGAAAATAGTATCCATGCTAAGACATTGTTCTTGCTCTGGGTAAGATCTGCTGCTTGATATCATCAGCTTCACATCACACACTAGGTAATAGTCCCTGACTYTACTTCAGACTCACTCTTGCAACCAAAAGTCAACTCCCTGTATAAACAAAWGTCAGAGTAAAATTGACCCATATTTACCCACAAGCTAATGACATCCAGCATCAATGCTGAGTAAAAGCTACTTAGCACAGGACCTAGCTCAGCAAGTCAAAGATAAATCCAAATGCCAGAACTGAATCTTCAGAAATTCTTCCCTCGCCTCAAAGCAGAAAAGCCACTAGAAATGAATGGATTCTAGAGAAGATTCTGGAAAGCCACTCTGCGGAAACCTAGTAATCGCARACTATCACAATGCACGCACAAGGAAAGAGAAAGAAGATCAGCACAAGGGGAAGACTTAACTTCCAAATCGAGTCCCTCACAAYGATTTACATAAATAATTTGCAAAGGAAAATTTTAGGTAAAAAAAAAAAACCAAACCAAGAAACACGGTCACGGAGATACTTAGTATATACGGAATAAAGATTCTCTCTTGCTCAGTACAGTCGAGTTTTGGACAGCAATTCCTCACAACTGGWTCTTCCACACAGTCGTCAAAGGTTTTTGTCCATTGTCTGGAGAGAGGAATTTCCTTTGGAAATAGAAAGTATTCCTGCTTCAGGAGATGCATTTGCACACTCTAGKGAGACACGATTATGAAATTTGCGAATGAAAAATAACTAATAGGCTTCCTTTTTTGGTGAAATCCAGAACCCAATCAAGGATTTCCTACTGGCTTCTGGATAAGGCCAGAGGTGAATTATTGTGAATAATTTAGGACAAATGTTTCTGACAAGATGCAAGTTTCCCACACAATTTGTGAAGCTATAAACTTCYGAAAGCTACAAATAATAGTAAATCCAACTTAATTGGCTTCTTAAAATAACTGGTCAATTCAACAGCAAACACTTTGGGACAATGTGAAACAAGAAAATGTTTCTTAGGAAACAAGAAAATGGGAAACAAGACAATGGGAAACAAGAAAAAAAATCGGTCCTAATCTTCAACTTTGTGAACTTTTTAAAAGCTGTCCTCTAGGACAGAGAGCCTTAGTTGCAGAAGTGCTTCTATACCTTGTCGATGGCAAAATACTGGACTCCGTAAAGAATTAACTGTAATTGCAGAAATAGGACAGCAAAAGATGTGTCACACAAACCCTGCATGCAGAGCTAAAAATGGTCTTTAGCAGGGAAGTAGAAGCCAGGTTCCTTTGATACGAATTTCAGTAAAAATTAAGACCATCAAATATTCATTCAGACAACCATGTCTACAATGGCACGTCTTCATTACAGACCTTGACAACAAGAGCCCTACTCGGCTCGTGAATTTTCATTGACTGAGCTGGCACACGTACAGGGGATCTCCCCTTAACGATGTTCAAGAGATTAGTATGGCCCRGCATGACGCAAATTTTCTCTGCAGCACTGCAATTTCACTCCCACRATCCATATTCTACATTCTACGTGTAGTTTTCTGTCTCAAGTGTTAAATATTGCTCAAGTCTCAGGACACTAACAAACATGGCACATGTCACACAGAAAATCTGCGTAAGGGCTGCAGCAGGATAAAGCAAGAGGACCGATTAATCACGGTATCGTGCCTTAGTCCCTGCTTTTTATCCCTCATAATAAAATCTTGAAGTTAACGAAATTCAACCGTTAATAAATCAACCGTTTCGGTTCGTGTGCCCTGAGGATTGAATCTCCTATAAAGCTGAGGTGACGGCTTCTGAAATTCTCAAGTATGCYTGCTGACTATTTTGAGACAGATTTTTCCCAGTCATCTGCTAGAATAGAAGAATTTGTCTGCAGTAACAAGCAACACAGTGACATGAATTCAACCACTAAATGGCAAAGCGAGTATGCTTCCCATGGAACTGCACGGGACCTACTGCATGGGACTCACCTCATTCTGATGCTCTCATASGAGTCAAAGTGAGCATTAGAACCTGAAATAAAATTCAAGCAGCTTCAAAAAGAGCCAAAGACTTAGAGAGATGCCAAACCTTCCTTCTCAACAGTCACCTACTCCATCATACAATGTGCACATAAGAGCACATTTTCTTTATTGATTTTTCCAATTATCCCCCTTCACCTTCCAGAAAAAATAAAATAAAAACCAATCTCTTAATCTTCCAGTATGAGCAATGGGAATCTAGCATATACCTCCCATGAGCCAATCCTTATGGTCAGAAGCACTTGGCATACATCACTTCAGTCATTTTCTCGAAGGAGATGGAYATGCCAGGTACAGTCCATTCTTAAGGAATACGACTCATGGTGGGCACTTCTTAACAACGAACAGCTGCAGAAGAATACCCAGAGCAAGATAAGACTTTTTAGGGAGCCACCCACTCTATGGAACTCCAGTGTCTAGTTTTTTCCAGCTTCTGTGCAATGGATGTCTCTAACCCTAGTCAGTTCTTCCAGCAAAGATTCTCAACCAGGGTTATACAGTGGGAATTCCAAAGCAAYTGGCTATGTACAGACATRTCAGCATTCCCTCCAAGACAGAGAYGAAAAGGAGAAAATTCCTGAGGATTTGTATCCTCTACTCCGCTTTCTGAATCCCAGCCTCCCCCTTGCCTTGGAATGAGCTCTACAAAGCAGTATCTGTTATGTACAAGAATCTCAGCTCCCTTCCTTTGGAGAGTTTCCCCATAAAGCGAAAGGCAAATCCCAGGACAGAGACAGGCGCTGGGGAGAGGGAGGTTGCCTTAGGATGACTCGCCAGAGGCAAGAGAGCCAGCAGCTTTCTTCTTTGGGCGGGCTTTTACACTTCTTACTGGAAGCTGAGGAGAAAGAAAAAGAGGCATCTTAGGCTACTTTATTTTAACATCTAAATGTCTGTCAGAAAGATGCAAGAATGCAGAGTGAAAACAGGACAAAAACAACTAGAACACAACCCCATTCGTGTCATCTGTTGTCTCTAAAGGCTATTTAACCATTCCTTTTTTTAAAATTAAACAAATCGTTCAACGCATCSATCAAATAGCAATCGGGAGAAGACAATCTAAAACAGGACACGTAYGGTAGTAAAATCAAAGTCAGTTGTCTAAACAGAAGGTTAGACACAGCAATTCTAACTTTCGCGTAACATTTCACTGATCTAGCTTTTCCRCTCCTTGACTTTCATCACCAGTGCAGTTCTCTGAAAGCTGTAGAAACATCCTGAACTAGTCTGCACACTCTACTTCTGTGTCTTTCATTCTAGATATTGGCAAGAAGAGCACCTTTATTTATCCACGAGGCATTCAGCCCTGGCTGGCAATCTCAGAGATCTCAATCAAAGACCTCCTACAAGTTCCACATGCGATCCAAAGATCCTACAGTCTGAGCACAAGAACCAATATGCCTGCAAAGGGCTTTATTAGTATTTCTGTATTCACGATAAACAGCACACAAGAGTTATTTCTGTCTGGTCCCGGGCACTGGCTCTACAAGGAGTACTTTAGCACACGCAAAGGTGCCCCGTACACTGCAAAATCAGGTTAACGTTACAACTTAAACCGATGCTGTAAGAAATTACTTGCCTGAAATGATTTAACATTTAGCMTGAATAGCTCAACAATGTGAATCAGTTATGTAGCATTCTTTATCTCAGATAAAAATAKTAACTTGGAAGTCCAAGTTGAATTAAACAAATAGGACCCTAACTTCATAAAAGTGGAGAAGCATTTTATCATGTACACATCAAACCATAAGAAACACTCAAGTAAGAATCAAAACCTGGGAAGCAGCACCTCAAAAGCATACTCTACAAAATACATCTGAAAATGGCTGAAAAAAATAATGCTAAGCTTAAATCATTCTTGGACACAACTGCATTTTTCGTGTGCGTTTTAATAATAATAATTCAGGCATCTCATGTCACATCTGAATGGCTGTAAATACCTTGGATCATCACATGAACATAAGAAGGAGACAACTGAACAATCACTAGTAACCCAGGTTTCAAGACAGAACTCTAGGAATGGGGCAGGTGRGGACTGGTGTAATTCCCCATATCTAATATGTGAAAGTCAAGGGAGGCCTAAGAGCGCACAGAACCACTGCATTTTAGGTGAAGAGAAAGTGACTGCCCCAGGGAAAAATATCATAGTACTAGAAAATATTCAGACTGTAGCAGACAGGAGAGGGGATATCATTAACAAAACACATCAAAAATATCTAATGCTCCACCCTTCAACACAAAACCTGAATGAAAGAAGAGCTGGGTTCCGACTTATGACAGAGGCTTAGAGGCGTGATAAAAATGCAAAAACTAGCGACAAGTACAGCAAGTAGATGACAAGTCCTCTGATGGAGGACTCGACTAGCAAAGACAGTTCAACAAAATTTACGTATACAGCTTCTAAACGCTGAGACGATGAAGCGAAAACCTTCCAACCAAGCTCACAAATCAATGTCGGTGCTGGAAATAATCTAGACATCAACTCACCTCGGCTTTCGTCACCTTTTTAGGAGTTTTGAGACTCTGTGTACGTTTAGGAAGCTTGTCTCCTGCATCTTCGTCTGATGGATCTGTTCTAGTATCCGACGGGGTTCCGTTAGACCGATGCGCCACGCTGCTCTCCTCTCCTGAGGAGTAACAGGAAGCTAAAGAACAAGAGTGAAAGTTTCAGCAAATACTTTTAAAGAATCACAGGAGGCTTAAAATGGCCCATTCTCTAGGAATACATGAAAGAGAGATGTCAACCATGCTGAATAATGATAATGGGGAAAGTACAGGATGTCTATCAAGTGAGAAGGCTCTGGAGAAGACAATGCAACTTCTCCCAGATAATCTACAATCCTGTATCCYGTTCTGAGACCCAAAGCTCAGGGAACGCCTCCTGGCTCACCATCTGAGGCCTCATACAATGGCTCAGCAGAGTGCTCTGTACCTGAGTCTTCAATGGTTTCTAGAAGACTCCCGCCAGAGGGGTGCAGCTGCGGATCACGGCTTCGCATGTGCACAGTATCTTCATCTCGGATCAGAGTGAGATCCTGCATGCTGAAACTTCGAAGCTTCTCAGACAAAACTCCCTGACCCTAAGAGGACATAAAAGTTAGGGTGAAGAGCACCTCACCGAGATCACCTCACATGGAATCGTTCATTCAGAAGAGGAGGAAATTCAGAGACCCATTCAGAGAGCCCTATTCCCCACTAGGGTACTCTGAAAAAAAACCAGAGAAGGGAAGATGTACGCTCCCAAGAAAAACAACGAAGAGGCTAAAGCAAAATCCACTCAATTCCCTCTCTACTTTTTCAAAGTCAAAGGATGGGATTAACTGCAAGGAAAACTGGAAGAAAGGAAAAGCAGGTTGGTGCCAAACGAGTWGCAGTACCTGTAACAGACCCACGGCACTAATTGCTGGTACACAAAAATAAATTGCTGAGAATTTCTCAGCATTACAGAAGACGTTGCATTACCTTTGCAGCTGCGGTAACTGCTGCATTGGCAGCAAGGTTTAACCCTCTCTTGCCAACTCGCATCATGGTTTCATAGCTCTTGTCACAGGCCTGAGTAATGTATTCATCGATTTCCTAGGAATGCAACATGGAACACRGCATTTAGCTCTTCATTACAAACGTGATCAAAGTCTTCCCATCATCACCCTTAAAATCACAAAGCTCATCTGGACACTTTTTTTCCAGGCCACCAGCATCAGCTGGCATCGATCACGTAACTCGAGTTTCTCTGCTAATTACAGACAGCGTGTAAATGCAACTTTAAATTACAGTATGCTATTTCCAAGTTGTACCAACGGAAACAAAGGAAATGCTTATACTGACAATGTGAAAAAGCAGACTGGCTACAGAACGTGCTGCTCCTATCATGATTCAAAAAGCTTAACTACTGACAGAGACTGTAAGGGCTCATGACACTGGGTTAGCCAAACATGCTTTGTAAGCATTAGGCAAACTACTGGCTACATTACAATCTTCAGTAAGCTGCAGTATGACATCACTGTCAGAGACTGAATCATTYTACATTCACTAATGTCAGCACAAGCATGATTCACTGATTTCAGTTTTTATTGTGGCGTAACTGATTTAGAAGTCAGTCAGTTCCCAGACAGTTATTTTCCAGCAACAAGCAAGTACCTTCTCCTTATTGGAGAGCGTTGGGTGYACAAACTTCCTGTAGAGGACACTGGAGCCCTTGGTGTAAGGGGAGAGCAGCCAAATCACAAATGCGATTTTCAGCTCGAAATAAAAGGGAAACCTGAGAGAAAGAAGAAAGAAAAAAAAAGGAGAGAGAGAAAGATGGAGAACTGGAATCAAGATCAGCACAGAGACAGATGGAGATAACTAGCAGAGAGCAGCACAGGCAGAAAGAGCGTAGGCAAGGTAAAGGCTCAGAAACAAAAGAATCAATTATTCAGTTCAGAAAAGCAGAACCTTCTCTTTAGAATCCTAGCACATACCTTCTTCGAGTATCATTTATTCTTTCATCCATAGCCATGAAAACTCCATAAACAGGGCATCTCTCAGCCCTGCAAACACACCAAATGACAATCTGATAGCTACTCTCCTCGTTYGGAAGTTTGTTCAGAGAGCACCCAGTAGATGTTAATATTACATTAGTTTCCCTTCTCATTTTCCAAAAAATTTCAACTATGTATCTTACTGTTCCTGCTAAGGATGATCACTGTTTCTGAAACTTSCAGTAGGTACTCCTCAGGTAAGACACTAAAGCAGGGCCAGTGYAAATGAAAAAAAGCAGGCGGAATGTAAGCCCATCGCCTCTAACCCTTACCCGATAAAGTCTGGGAAGATACAATAGCAGAGATCGAACCAAGTGAACACAAATTCTCTACTGACTCAACYAGTGGCAGAAGTCCTTTTCAAGTATGTGAACATGCTAAAGTTCTTGTACTTTTTAGATCTTTGTCTGCTTTTCAGATTTTACACAGGCAGAAACAAAGCTACCGAGCAATTTTGTAAGGCATGTGTAGACATTTCATGATCCTTTAAAAGACGAAATTCGTGACTAAAACCTTTCAGAGATGTATGCCAAGCTCAAACGCTAAAGCAATGAGGCAACTGAAGATACACTGCTTCAGGGATTCAGSTGAAGCCCTGTAACAAYGATTGTCATTTTTRGAGGCCTCCAAAAATGCCAAGCRTGACASCGAGCACCAAAAGGAGTAAGAATCTGCTTCCTTCAATTCCAGTCTGTCTCACCCTCCCTAGTGGAAGTAAAGTTTGTCACACGAACCGCTCCAGCACAGACACACGAGTGACCTTCTACACACAAAAGGCTGTCAAAGCAAAATAGGTCCCTTCCTTCTGCCATTTTTTGGAATGTRTCTTTTAGACCACCATTTTTCAAACTGCACCAGTTCACATTAACAGCTTCTCAAAAATATTTGATGTCATGAGCGGATGAAGATTCTTGAATGATGAAGACTCTGCGCGTTACCCTAACTATGCAAGCGGAGTTGAAACGGCTAAGACAGCGGCTGCTACTGACAATACGTAGAAACCTGCCGATTCTTCACAGGGATCGAAAACTCCGAAAGGAGAGAAAGTTTATTCTTGCCATCCAAATGCTTCTCTTCGCTGCTCAAAAAAAAGGCAAAAAACCAAAATAAAAGCACAATAATGATTAAAAAAAAACAAAAAAAAAAACATGCTACTGATGCCCAAAAAAGGCTTAGAAATAAAACTCCATAGACCGGTGTCTATAGAGCAGGTACTTGTTTATTGTAGGGCTGGAGGTGAGAAGGATTTCTCTTCTTAACTCACTTGCTTTTGCTTTAAATTAGTACATATTTATACATTTAGCATGGCATAACACGAACATTGTCACTGCCTTCCATACGCCCACCGCTACACGTGGGCACGGAATTACACGATATCRCAGTTTTACGAGTGCGCGTGCGTCATCCTCGATTCGGTGGTCGCGGGGCTCTCCCTCTAATGAGTTACCATCCTCTTCATCACGGTGGACTTTTCACCTTTGTCTTCAGGGCACGCGCAGTTGTGATGATGCTTACTGTTTTTTCTAGTCTTCTAAGTCTTCATTTTTAATTATTTTGCTGACTGTCCTGTGCCTCTGCTAAGTTTTTATTAGTGCTGTCTACTGTTTTTTTGTTATAGCATTCACTTGCATACTTTCTTTGGAACTTTTTCTGATTTACGCTTCTCGGCGATTTCACGTATTTATGTGCTAATTCTGCTGGTTAGATTGCGTGTAGCTGGTACACTATATGTTGCGAATACACTATTAAAAAATTTATAGCAATATATAAAAAGGTTATCATTGATAATATACTGAAAGTGATTACACTGTATTTTAATAACACGTAAAAAGTTATTATATTCTTATATTGATAACATATAAAAAAAAGCTGCAGAAAGTTTTCAATTAATAGGCTTTATAAGCACTTTGTCACTTTGATATAAATTACACGTATCACCACCAAGGTACTTACCAAGAAAGAACAATGTCTGTGAGTGTTTCTGCAGTAGTGAAAAAGGCAAACACAATCCAGTACATCATCCACTTCACCTGCAAAAGAGCAGTCACTCACTAGACATACMTCAGAACCCAGAAAAAATGTGAAATGTCCTCTCAGTATAAATGACTCATCTCCACACATTAAGACGAATTGAACAAGAAGGCATATATAATCTGTAATGGAGAGGGTAACATACTAAATGGTACGTTTTAGTCTGAGAAAACACGTAGGATTAATGTGCTCTACATAGATAAACGCATACAGATACATTGATGAATACATGCCCTGTAGCAACCTATGACGCAACAGTATTAAGGTTCCAAATGACCTATCCAAAAAGATTTATCGGGTCACTTTAAGAAGTTACACTCGTCCATGTATCCTGAATRCTGTCCATATACATATATACGCATGCATATGTAAAAGTCTAAGTTTCAACTGCAACCCTGTATTTTCCTGATGTAAAGTTTTCCCTTAGGGAAAAAAAAGAAAAACAACAAACCAACGAACATATTGTTTTGCTCCAACTCCTTATTAAYAGGCAATCTTTGCGTTAATCCTTACTGCCAGAAATTACACAAGCAACCTGTTGTTGCTTTTTTTTTTAAAACAAAGGCTCACTGAGAGGTTACAAAAAGCAAAGGACATACCAGATCAACCTTATCTGCTTGTATAAGGTTTAGGGTATATAAATCTACTATTATGCCACATTTGTATGTCTWTCTCCCTACTTCCTGACACCTTTATCTGGGGCAGTACTTTTTTCAAAGCACAAAATAATTCCCCCCTAACAATCACACGTGCACCACTCTGCCGTTTTGGTAACTGGTTTCTCAGCTACAAGCCAATTACTCCTCAAGATGAGACAGCTGGATTTTAAGGGAAATTGCTAGTTTTCTATCCTCTTGAGAAGAAAAGACAAGCCTAAGTAGGAGATAAATGAAGAGGATATCTCAATTAAAAGCAATTTAAATACTCTTAGTGTCATCAAGTGGGAAAAAAGAACTAAACTGAATCAGGGAAATGTCACATATKAAATCCACGCATTAATCCATATAACAATATTACATGAACAATTATGTTCATATAATAATGACAATGTTGACAATCCTTGTTACAGCAAATCCTATAAAAGMAGGTGTTTTCCCAAATTTGCATGTGTTGGAAAATTTGGTGATTTGCCCTTGAAAGACCCTCCAAAACTTTCTCATTAAAAAAACTAACCTTCCTCTAGCCATTTTAACACAATGAATGGTTTAGAAGACAGTAGTTATTAATCCAAATTATTTTCACTTTACTGTGAATTTTCTTTTTCAGAACAGAAAAATAACAAAAATTGTATTGTATGGCTCTCTCCTGCCTTTTTATTCTTTTCTTGTATCATCAGTTTGGACAGGACCGGGTGTCATTCAATTGATCTAAAGCAACTTTTCGAAATGAACAGTTATATCCTCAGCAGCAACATGAATCAGCTCTTGTATGAAAACCTGTGCGACTAATGATAAATCAAAGTTTGCAAAAAGGGTCAAAAAGGGTGAGAGATTCCAGAGAAGCTATACACCACTAAACCTCACTTCAGCATTAGGCAAAAGGAAGGCAATAATATTAGTAGTAGTAGTAGCCATAGCAGATACATACATATATGTAACAGAATTAGGATTAAGTGTTTTTTTCCGGAGAAAAAAATAAATTCACAAGTGTGGCAGAACTCTTAGGTTTCCATAAGCCTGTRCTAGCTGTAGCGCTTTCCTTACAGRGCARGGCATATGAAGTTTCTAAATAGCTTCTAACAGATCTAAACAAACACTCAGAGAAACAAAATTGTCAAGGATAAAAAGGAAGGGACTACTGAGGATTAACAGTTGGTTAAAAAAAAAAAAAGAAAACGAAGGATAAAAGTAAATGGCCACTTTTCACAATGAGGAGAGTTACCAGTGGAATCCCACAGGAATCAGTGTTGAGATCTGTGCTGCTCATCTTCATGAAAATCTGGAAAAGGTTGTGAATAGTAAGATGACAACTGTGCAGAAGACACTTTTCTATCCAAGGGATTAGGTAGGAGTCAATTAGAGAATTCAAAAAACGATCCTGATTGATCTCCAGTCGACATTTTTTCTCTAATTGTGATTAAATGCAAAGCAATGAACTTGCAGTGTCTGCTTTTTCTTAGTGAAAACTATTGCATTTATATATATTAGCCGATGTCACTCAAAAGGGGTCACTGTAAGCAGCCCAATGAAACTGTAGGCTTGGTGCTCATTTTTCAMTCTCCTAACAGAATGCTCAGAACTGAGAACAGAAAACATAATTTTGTTACTGTTTAAGCAAACTTCACGTTCACACCTTTGATAATGGACACGGGTCTCTTGCCTCTGTCTCCTTCTGTCACCCTTCACCCTATGCTCTACAGCCAAAGAAAAAAAGAAGTATAGCTCTTAAGTAAACTAGAAGGATCCAGCGTCTAGTTCTTGAAGTCCCTGCAGATGATCAGAAACTAGAACAGCAGAAAGTAGATGGGAAGAAGCACAAATTTTTTTCTTATGATAGATTACAAACACTTTCCAAAACTGAAGGTTAAATGAGGCTGTATTTTTTTTTCAACCCACTAAAAGGATCAGGTCTTTTCYGCTCAACCTGACGATCACCAGCTTCAGATAACTGCACACATACAGCCTCCCCAACTTGCACCAAGAACCTAAATGAATTCAGCAAGTGCAAAAGCATAAGTGGAATGTAGACTTGACCCAAAGCTGAAGATGACATGTTAAAAGGAAGACTTTTTTTTTTTTTTTAAATCTCAGCTACTAAAAGCARTCTGCCACAGCTGCGCAAGGACTCGGTCTGAATTTATATCACGGTGGGAGAGAACAGCAAGTTCACACCGTACGCTGATGCCCGTGACGGACTGTAGTAGTCTGTGTCAACTCAAGCTTCAATAAACCATTTCAGCATAGATATTTCTGTAAGACCTTTCTCCACCATCAAACCCTAACTAATGTTGGCTCTTAAGCACTATGAGCAAGCAGTAGAGCATAAAACAGCTGGCATTGAAAATGGGTGGTACAGCATTCGASTTTTCCACTGACTTTGCACATGAAGAACAGTTTGAACATATACTGCCCCTCCTGTTACATTTTTCCCCTATCTTTCCACTTATGTTGAGAAGAAAGAAGCCCCTMAAAGGTAAGTGAATTAGGCAGATGGCAGTCCAACACCTTAACTGCTTATTTCTGATGCAGTCGTCTCAAGGAGAAATAATTAATATATTAGGTTTCAGCAGTTCAAATACATTTTCCTGAACCACTCCAGCATTTTCACTGAAACTAAAAACAAGATTATATTTTCGGCTACAGCAATCCAGACTATCTACTTCAGGAAACCTGGACCACTGAATCACTAAACAAGACCCAAAAATGAAAGCCATAATTTTCCACAACTGYCCTAGTGAGGCTTACAACCAAGTAACCACTCGGTATTATTGTTAAGACAACTTCACGGTACTCAAGCACTTCATCTCATTTGTGCTTGTGCATGCCTCATCCCCTGGAAGCGTTCAGGGCCAGGTATGTTGGGCCTTGGAGCAACATGAACTTGTGGAAGGTGTCCCTGACCATGGAAGRGGGTTGGAATAGACGTGCTTTAAGGTCCTTTCCAACCCAAACCGTTCCGTGATCCCATGATTTTTTATCAGCAGAATAAAGAAGTCTTGCRGCTGCTCAGGTAACATCTACCGAAAGAAAATTTGATCAATAAAACATGCATATGCTGCAAAGAAATAAAGCATTTGTGCACCTCAACAGAATCTACGTACAGGAAATAAACAGTTTTTTACTGTAAAGAATGCCAGTTGTTTTAAAAAATGAGGGTTTGAGGGTGGTTTTTTTTTGTTCACATCAAGTTCTCAATAAAATTGGAGTCTGTCTTCAAGTTCAGATACTGTAATTGGATACAATCAATCCCTTACTGACTTTAAYGAAMAAGAATAAAATTCCAGGTAAAAATKACACATTTCATGCAACAACTAAAGATCACTGGCAACTGAAATAAAAGAGGCAAGGAATGCCAGAGAAGACAATAATAATATGAGAYCACTTAATACATAACTTCAAAGGTAATTATGAAGTCATAGGATCACACGATTATTTGGACAGTTTCTTCGTGCTTTGTTTCATGTTTCGAACGTTGCTACTAGTAAACTTTGAAATTTAGTAAGGCTCATCAAGACTGTATCTTTAATACTTAAAACATTTTTTACTTAAAAATCACTCCTGAACACTCACAGTTCAACTTCTCTGCTGAGACCAATATTAAAACAACAACAAAACTCAAACACCTCAGGCCAGATGCTGCAGCTTCTAAAGCTGCCCGCTATGAATGAGACTCTCAGGYCAGCTGGCGTCCCCTTAAAAACCCRCGGGCTGAATTTTAAGCCAATGTACGGCAAGGGTCTAGTCAATTCTAGAGGGCTGAAGCAGCATAAGCCACAACAGGACTACATCCTACAATATTTATTACTGAAATGTTATTTTATAAGGAACAAACAGAGAGAAAGTGAAGGAAGTGTCACGCTGCACCATAAAGCAATACTGACAGATTATATCCTATTCACCCATGTTACTTCAACATCACATTATTCTCTGCTCTACATAAATGGAAACTCATGCCACCCATTAGAGAAGTAAGTCTTGTCTCAACCGATCCACTTAGAACATCCCTTCCGTAAGATGGCAACGCACATCACAAAAGMACATTTGGTGTTTTAAATATGGTAATTGTAGCAACGGTATAGACAGAGAGGGAAACGGTTTCAGAAGGGAAAGAATGAAGTTTTGACCAACATAAAACACCCATCACAAGGAAAGTTGATAGGAAGCCACAAACCAAGCAAGATTACTCAGCCCTTTGGAAGAAAACAGATGTAGTAGTGAAAAAGCAGTAAAGAACACAGAGTAAGCATAAAGTTACAAGAACTTGTCCTGGACTTTCATATGCTTTCACACTGCAGTGTTTCCCCCGCTTTCCCTTCCTCACTCAGCATCTCCTGAGAAAAAACAGCCCACATTTACGGTTTGAAACCTCCCGTTTTAGTAAGCACCCCTCCTCGGCAGCTTTTCCAGAGACGACTGGAGCTGCTGCTGGRGCGGCCTGGCTGATCCGAGCCCCTGCGGAGCCGGAGTGCCATCGCTCTGGGGACAGGCCGGGGCTTTGCGAGGCGGCCGCGAAGGACGGGGCGGGCGCTGCGCCGGCACGGCSAGCCCGTACTCACATATTCCTTCACATTTTTCGTCTTGACGGCCTTATAGGAGGAGTACGCGGGGTAGAGGGTACCGAAGATCAGCCTACAAGAAGAACAGACCCCTCAGCGCCTCGCGGCGCCCCGCACCGCCCACCGCCCCCGGCCGCAGCGGCGGGCACTCCCCGCGGGATGCCAGCGCCGGCGGGATGCCGCTCTCCGGGCGGGGCTCGGCCGCCCTCACCGCGGCAACACCCGCGGGCCGCCGCAGCCCGCACGGACCCGCCCGTCTGCGGCCGCAGCCTCCCGCGAGCGCGCCCGCCCCCCATCCGCCCCTTCCCGGGGCGCGGGGTCCCGCGGGGCAGCACCGACAGCACCGGCAGAGCTCCGCTCTGGGCCGCGGCTCCCGAGGCGCATCATCGGGGAAGGGCCTTGCGCGGCGGCCCGCACCTCCCTGCGCCCCGGCCRCACGCACTCACACCACGAGGCGGGAGATAATCCAGGAGACCATGGCGGCGCCGGGCGCGGCTCAGGGCTGAGCGGCAGCGGGAGGCGGCTCTTAAAGGACAGGTTCCTGCAGCAAGCGCAGCTCCGCCCCGTGTGCTCGGATGGGAGGAGCCGACACCGCGGAGGGAGAGGCCGCAGGGCMCCGAGCATCCCGCCCCGATGCGGAACCCCGGCCGGTGGAGCAGATCGTCCCCCGCGCCGGGGGAAGGCCCCGCGTTCGCTCGCCGCAGKTGGAAAGGCGCGGCCGGAATACGGGAACGGAACCCCTCAGCGGAACGGCGGACAAGCGGCGTTGCTGGAACGATGGCAGAGAAGCAACATGCGCAACGTGAGGAAAATTACAGGAGTGCTGAATTCAGATCACGGGCACTTGGGAAGACAGAGTGATAGAAGCCATCTTCCCTCCAGTTGCCTCCTCTAGAAAGATCAAGAYGCTGATCACCTATTACACGCTTCAAAAAAGGCACTTAAATGTAAAAGCGCTTCAGAGTTCCACGGCTCCAAGTTTCACCAAAAACCGGATGCAAACCAAAACTCATCTTGCCGATACTGAGGTTTGCGTTTCAAATTAGAAGAATGAAGGCTGTTACTTGTAGTTTCCAGGTTATTTCAGAGTKGCCAGATACTCTTCCTGCAAATGTCAACGGAGAGGTCAAGGATTACTTTGTTAMCTACACAAACAAGGCTGGACAGCGTGTGTGCGTGGATGGAAACTATCCTTAGTACCGGGTGGGAAATGTGTATGCTTCAGCACACTGGAGTATCAGGAATCGTTGTATTTTAACAGCTCACCGAGGAACACTGYTAAGAGAACCTTCATCTGCAGTCAATGCCAGAGTTCATTACTGGGTCCCTGGGAGCGTGTTTGTATATTATGGTCAATGACTGATTAGGCCCAGTACACAGATCTCTGACTCACRCTGAGATAACCATTACATAAAGCTATTTTTCAATTAAAAAAAAAGRTACTAGAAATCTAATGGTTCTTCAGCTAACCAAAAAAAMCCCTGAAGGCAGGCACTAGAGCAAAGTTTCATTAGGTGCCAAAGAGGCTTTATGACAAGGAATGAGACTGAGGAAAGAGAACAAAACCAAAAAGCTCGTGAAGAATTTTCTCATGAATGCATGAAATTCAGTATAATGAGCAATGATGACAAATACAAAACACTGACAACTTTGCATTGCATGCGAGAGATAAAGACACAAATGTCTCTACGGACAGTGAAAAAGAACATTTTGTCACAGTCTGCTTTTGGATATGAGTGGCCACAAAATTACTGCATAAGGGACGGCACAGTTTACGCMACTAGTGGCATAACTGACCTACTARTAGGATAAAAGGAATCTGCTTTCACACATCCAAGTAACATTCACATGCAAAACCTTCAACAAAAAAACTGCATCGGTTTCATATCAGTGACCAGCAGGCTGCTACTTGACTAATTTGTTCCYGGTCGGGTGAGTGAAAGATGCAAACAGGAGAGAAAATGTAGAAATCTGATGAGTAAAACATATGACAGTGTGAGAATGCTGAAAAAACTTCAGCATGGGTGACACCTAAGTAAAATGTGCCTTAGTGTTTTAAGCTACATAATGTGYTAAGGGGCAGTATGAAAATCTACAGTGCATTAGACATAAATAGTGGTAAGAACAACAGAATCTCAACATCAGTAGAGAAGGTGGTCTTGTAAATATTCTAAGTGGCAGCTCACTGTTAAGTAGCATGGTTGAGCTTTAGAACAACTTCAGGAGAGGTATTTTACGCTAGCAATTTACATTTAGCATTAAGAAGCTCAATTTCTTTCCATTTCATAAACAAAAATGAAAGATTACTTCATTAACTTGCCTATCCACAAGGAGAAACTACTGGTACTGAAGGGCTGTTTTTGGRAAAAAAATCAGCGACAGGTCAAATGACAATAAAAATATTTATTAGTAGTAKTCTTTTTATTACATTATTAGTAATATTGTATAATGCTGTGTAATTAAGACTTTAAGACCTATCCAGGAAAGCAATTCGTCAACTGTTTTCAAATTAAGGTGGTATGTTTTTTAGAAGATATGCTACTGCTGAAACAACTCCCGATACACTTGTGTTGTAGTACTGGTCCAAAGAGATCACCAAGTATCTATCAATCTGCTATGGCTAAACGATAAGGCATGGAAATCAAACAAACTCTTCCTCGAGTACAGCAGCTTAAGCAAAGCTACAGTAAGAAAAATGCCATGTCACATCCAGAGATCCCGCTGAAGCTGAGGTTCAGGAAGRAGCTGCTATGATGAGGAGCAACAGCAGTTTGTCAGGGCTCAAGAACACAGGTTTCCCTCTGGAAAAGTTGAGCAGACTAAATAAGGATCTTAGGAATAAAGGTGAAGCGGAAGAGCACAATGGGAACCCTCTCTGAAGCTCAAAGGTACAGAYTGTAGTGGAAGAGTATCAAAAGCTGAAAGGAGTAGGAAAACAGAAAAAGTGCAAGCTGAYAGCCAAAAATGACATTGTAAGAGCTAGGGCCCTAGAATGGGAAATTGTTCGGAGAACATTTCCCTTCTTTACCCGTTTCACTTTGCGATTGAAAGCTGTTCTCTCAGAAGACACCTTCCTAGAGGAAACAGCTGGATTTTGCTGCATCCAGCTCTTGAAACTTAAAATTTTCCTGTTACATTATATAAAGGCAGAGATAAATAAAAAGCTCCTTCAAGGCAGGAGAATGAGGAAGATAGGAGAGAAAAGTAAGACGATTTCTGCCTGGTTATTTTTCAAATGCGCGGTGGGAACATGGAACACTTTTTCAAAGGTTGAGAACAGGAATCTTAAAGGCACTACCAATTCAGAGGAAAGAAACTGATTTCAAATTTCTGAGATGCAGTGGAAGATAGTGACTACAAGCAGGCATTGGCACGCATCCCAGCTGTCAGGGGTAAGTTTGCGAAAACACTACAGTTGACATTCGCGAGGTAGGATTCCTTACCAGTAACYGGAGCTTAGAAGATGCATCGTCAACAGGTCCTTCTATGCTATGCTTCACTCACATGCTGTGYAGTTTCACAATCATTTTCCACAGAAGCAATGCTTACAAGATGTGCTTGATGCRTGAATAAATCACTAGTGTGTGTGATGCACCTCAACCAATACCTCATAACTGCAGAAGCTCAGAGAGCTATCAAAGGGCTACAGGAGTGAGGAAGGAGAGATACACAATACATGAAAATTCTGTTTCAGAAATTCTGAAATTGCTGTACAGTAACGACTAGATTTAGGGTAGCTGAAGAGAATTCTAAGAGCTGACAATTACCASTTTGCATCAACTGAAGACCTTCTCTTGCTGTGAAGTAAGCAAATTCAAATTACTGGAACTGATTTGGAACATCAATTTACAAATTCTTCCTGTCCCCCTCTGCTCTAACCTCTGCATTGCTATAAGCCCGTTGACACGAGTCCAGACAAGATCACCAAGATGATTAGAGGAACTGAACACCTCTCCCACGGGGAAAGTCTAAGAGGATTAGGATTGCTCAGCGTGGAAAAGAGAAGGCTTTGGGATGACCTAACCGTAGCCTTTCCGTATCTGAAGGAGCTACAGGAAAGACAAAGAGTGACTTTTTACAAGAGCTAGTAGTGACAGGACAAGTGTGGAATAACTTCAAACTRAGACTAGATTTAGATTAAGAATTAGGAAGAAATTCTTCCCTGTGAGGGTGATGAGGCACTGGCACAGGTAGCTCAGAGAAGCTGTGGGTGCCCCATCCTTGGAAGTGTTCAAAGGCCAAGTTGAAGCAACCTGGTCTAGTGGAAGATATCCCTTCCCATGGCAGGGYGGGGGTGGAACTAGATGATCTTTAAGTTCTCTTCCAATGTAGGCTATTTTATGATTCCATACTATTTCTTAGTAATCCCTCTGATTTTGGCTGAATATTGCTTTAGGTTGATTGTAGTGTATGCACGATTATTAAAAAAGGAAATTCAAGACACAGAATCGGTACTTGATAGACTCAAACTAAACARAGGTTTAGAATGAGATGCAAAACTCCTATTGTAGATAACTCCTTCGAAAAATACTCATGGTACTGAATTTTAAATGTATGTATTAGACATAGCCAAGTCTCTGCTTTTTTGATCTTTATCCAATTCTAATTCTTACACACACACACACACACACACACACGAGGGAAAACAGCTATAATTAATCTGTGTGCACTGCGTACAACGGAAGTCCACATGAAATTCTACACGACAGAATACAGTGAGACTGAATGATCCTTGGGTCCGGAATAACCCATCTTATCGCTAGCAGACTAAATTAGCCCATATTCACAGGATAGCTGCAAGGGTATGAGGCAGCAAAAGCCTGTGACTGAGCTTTGCACMCAATAACCAACCTGAGAAGCTGCTAGCATGCCTCAAGTTAGTGAACAGAACTGCTACTGCCATCACAACCTCCAAGGTCAGAAACCACAGAACTTTTACCACCCCATGCGTATCTCCAGTGCAGAGGGCATCTCTGGACCCTAACCTGTTAGGAAGATAGTGAGAGATGGGGAGCACAGTACAAGAGACCTTTTTTTATGGTAAGACAGAGCCTCTATCCAAACTACCTCGAAGAATCAAGAGCTGGCAAGCAGCTTGCTGTGTTCCCAGCCTAGCGTCCCAAGTGTGTGCTAAATCACATGAGCCTTCTGGTCAAATACAGGGCACAAAATTAGCAGGCAGGCTACACTACTAGGGGCAAAGGCTGAGACAACCTCAAAGCAGGAAGATCAGTATACAGGTATGAAAGAAACTGCCCAGGCTGTTACAGTAAATGCCTTTTATTTTTTAAAAAATGAAATAACCGTGAACATATTAACAGGCCTGCAAGTGGCACTACAGTACRGCTGGAGATAAGGTCAATACATTTCCCCATGTACCCGGACAATGAAATCCATTGCATCAATGCTGACATTAGTAAATTCTGAATACAGTTCTATCAAGCAGGAACATTTTACTTAAAATATTTCTGGACAAAGTTGACACCGAAAGTTAACTTTTCCTTCACTTTGGAAAGGATAGATGTTTTATAGATGTTTTCAGGTGGCACTGGTRTTGGGTGGATATTGCCTGCAGTCACCAGTGCAGGGAGAGATGTACAACATCTCCATGTGAGAAAAGAGTTTATACTCCTTTTTACTTCTCATTCCGAGGAAGCAGGGTGGCACAGAGAGAGGGCGGGGCGGGGAAGACAGGTGAGGTAATATGGGCAAGGGAGGTGGGATGTCAATTTCTATTCAATTGTCCTTTGGCTGTTTTTGTGCTATTTTGGACTGCTTTCTAAAAATCACTTCTTGATTTTATTGCAAGGAAGACTAAACGTAATACACCTTTCCTTGAAAATCCAGGAACAATTGTGGTACTTCAAAAATACTAAAAATATCTACTTTAATGAAATATTAACTGYTTCACTACAAACCTATTTTTTCACTAAATACACAATTCTCTTATTTCTGGAGTCTCCCAGGGGAAAAAAAAGTGGGTTCTCCCTTTAGTTCTGCAACTCTACAGTGTATAGAGAAACGGCTACAAGAAGGGGAGTGCAGAGAATAGCTTTATCCTTTTCCTTGGCCTATATCTCACACAGGAAGTTTGTCTGAATTTCTGCAGTTGGGCTACGGTTGGTCACGGTTGGTCTTTCAGCAGCTATCAACCGAGTCTGCGGTAGGACAACCCACCTCCAGCATGTCCCGTTTARCTTTGTGGAGACTAACTAGGCATGAGGGAAAAAAACCATCCACACTCTTTAYACCATTTCTAATCATAATATGCAGGAACACCAAGTGGTTTCCATGTTCTTTCAATTTGCAAAAGGCCACAGGAAAGGGACATGGCACCTTTTAGAATATGGAATTCTGCATTTAACAGTGCGACCTTCCATTAGACCTTCAATGTTGAGGCAGCGTAGAAAACAGTGGCTGAAGAGTGTGTGTAATACTGACTACACCAGCTCTTAGTGAGAAGCCTCTGCTCCTACAGAGGCAGTCGTGTGCAGTCCCTGTATATACCGTGAGCAAAAGGCTTACTTGACAGGGCATTTGGAATTAGCAATTCCTACGATCTAGCTAGTTTGGATTCGTGAGCTTTCAGTGTGCCGACAGCATCTTTCACTGCATGGTAGATAATGTTCTTCACCTGAAACGGGAAAAAAAAATAATCAACTTCTACAGACTAACAAGGAGAGTCTTACCTACRCAATCAACTTTTACAGCTGAATTTGTTAAGAGCTGGCAAGTATACACAAAGTACATCTCTTTCTGCTTCACAATATCAACAGCACAAATATTAACTGTCACAAATGCACACTGCAAGTATTTTAGACACTTGAAMTGATTTATTAATTCATTTTCTGGGCACCCAGCAATACATATTTACTCATGTTATTATAAGACAATTCCCTTTTTTGAGAGCTAGGAGGAACTATGCACTATGAAGCTACATATACGAGCTTATTTTGAAAAAGTCATTGTGATCCAAGTCACTTACAGATTCACAAGACGCAGGAAAATCATATGGTTTAATCCTAYGAAAATTAAGATGATGCAATGAATYATCCTGTTGCCTTTGTATGGAGGCTAGAAATTCTTCAAATGTGTGAAACTTGCAGAAAGACAAGCAAGAGATGTAGTACTCAGAGCAATCTTTTTCACAGTTACCTATTTAAGAATCAAAGCTCTGTCTTGTTTCTGATCTTTTTCTGTTCTAAGTTTATTTGAATTCTGTTTTCAGGTGTTGAATGGAACAGTTTCACCTCCTAAGTGAGCAGCTCACTTGCACTTGCTCAGCCAACTGCCAAGAACCATAATCTCCTCCTGACAYACATGTGAGCTCATTTTTTGGTATAATTTACGCAGCTGTTATTATCTCTGTGKTTTTTTTTTTTAATATATAAAAGCATAGAACAAAGATTTATAGAAAAAGATACATTAAAAACAACCAATAAAAATAGAAATGTCTGAGACAAATACAACCAGTATTCCTTTTCACTGGAATAGTGAGTTGTATTTTGGGGGTTTTTGGTTTTWTTGTTTTGTTTTTTAATAGTAAGCATTATTCATTCATAACCTCTTGATTTACAAAGACACTTCCACATTTGTATCATCATAGCTGAAGCCACAATGAGAGTTGATCCTGCTTCTGATTTCCTTTATAATCCCATGAAAACCCATATAGAAATTTATAGCAAACTTTCACTGAGYTGGTATGAGAGAATTAACATGGTAGATTTGGACATCCTTGGGTGACATCCTGGAGAGTGACATATAGAGGACAACCACTCTGCAGATCTCCACCCTCCTTCCTTGTACATGCATGTGATTACCGATACACAAAAAATGCTGACAATAAAATCTGCAAACTGAGCAGGCACTAATGCTTCAGAAGCGTTAGACAAAATTCAGAAAGATCTCCTACTGCTTTTTCTGTGTAGAACTTAMCGTCTTATATCCAAATGTACTTGTGTATGTAATATGTTCTGCGCATAATTATTAGTTTAAGCAGTCACACTTCTTCACACCAAAACACATTTAATTTTAGGACTAATTTATGTTGGTAAGACCTTTAAGATCACCAAATCCAACYGCTAACCTAACACTGCCAAGTCCACCACTCAACCATATCCCTGACTTCGATAATCTAGCATTTGTTTTCAGAGCAGTTTTCCTTTAGGCAAGAAAGAAACAAACAGATGTGTACTTGGTTAAATAAACATCTCTCTTTAAAACAAAGCACTGCTCTTTCCTTTTTAATAGTGTTTTTTAATTGCAGTCTGCTTTGCTGTCATTAGAATTCAGCCATTCAAAAACTTATTAACACCAATGCATACATTAGTCTAATAGGGGGAAAGTTCTCTGGAACACTAATTTCTGTTTACATAATACTGTAGACAGTATTATTTAAAAATTAATGTACCTATTAAATGAGAACCTCCAGATTTGCAGGAAGCTGCTACTCCTTCCTTAGCCACACATTTCTAGTACTGAAGAAAGCTGGCAAAATACAGGATACATTTAGTGTCCATTGATATAAAATGGTTACCTGCAGTTTATCCTCATGGTTTGTATGAGTATTAGACAGGTGCCTGAATTCCTGGGTCAGACGGAAGCAGTGCTTCACRTGTTCTGGAGATACGAAATCTTCTGCCACTTTAATGCAGCTGTACAAATTATGGACCTGAAAATCCGTATCAAATGACTCATATACCAAGACAATGAACTATACAAAACAAAACAAAAAAAAAACCCACCAAACCAACCAAAAAAAAAATCGAAACAAAAAAAACCAAACAAAGGAACAACAACAAAAATCACCAAACCCCCCAAAAACCCCAACATCCCCCCATATATTTAGGCTCTGCCACTTTTACTTATCAGAAACGGGAACTGACAGAATTATGTCTAATAGTAAAACCAGAACAAAATACATGACTACATGACATCTAACAGATTCCTTGTTCTGCCATATACGTTAGCATTCCCCACAGCAAGWTCTCTTACCTTTCTCCAGCCTTTTGTTGAATTTGGTTTCCTTGGCTGAAGTTTCACTACACAGAAATGCTTTCCCTCCACTCACCCCAGCTTTTTCCCCCCTGTAATTTCATCACATTTATGTACACATCCTTCAGATATTTACATAACTTTTCATAATGTAAGAACTGCGTAAGTAGAAAAAGAAATCCTAAGTGAGCARTATTAATAAACAATTCTTTTCAATCTGCAGTTCTGTTGTGCCTCAAATTCAATTCTATTTGTCAATATGGCCTAGAGTTGSTATAGTTACCTGATGGGGAGCACCTGCAGGAATGAACACGGCATCGCCAAGGAACTGTACTATTGCCCAGCCTTGCACACCGTACTCATCATAGAGTCGCTTACGTAAGGTCTGGTCCAAGTACCAACTTTGGTCATGAATGGGGTCATGATCTGGAGGATTTTCTTGACCTTGTTCTTCTCCRACCTAGGGCCAAGATATGGGGTGGYRGGAAACCATGACACAGCACCTTAATATTGCTGGCTCACAAAATGATCTGTACCAAAACTATTTCAAGGTAGAACATTRTTTTCATTAAGGTCATTTATGTCTTAAATAGCAACGCGCATTAGTATGAAGATTCCACATCAGGCTGAAAACCTGGGTACATAGTAACTATTAATGCCCCTAAAGACAGAGTGCAATACCTATGCACTCGATAACATACCTTCCGGAGAAGTTCCCGGATCTTTTCAGCATCCTTGGCAGCGTAGATGTGCCACAATGCTCCAGGTTTCTCTCTTCCTTCATGGATTCGCTGCTTTGTTACATCGTCAGCATCTCCCTCATCAATTGTTTTCAGAACCTCTGAAAGGGGAATCCRTGTAAAAGTAGTGTGATTACAAAGCTGCTCATTTTTGACACAAAGAGGAAGGAGCATTTTGAGTTACTAAATCCAGTCACACTGCAACTGCTGCATCATACAAGCTTCATTTTAACAAAATTCAGGCAATGTGTCAATTGACAGCTAATCACAAAGCTCAGTCATGAATTTAAACTGAGCTACAAGTATTCAAACACGAGGAGAAGAAAGGGTAATAAGTTACTCTTTCTCCTGCTTTGTTCAGGAATGTACCTAATTTTTAGCAAAATTCTGCTGCTCCCGCAGTTGGAAACTAATGAGGCAGAACTGCACTTTTAATTCTGTGCTGCAAATATAGCCAACTCCCTTATATACTTCAATTATATACTACAGATATGACAAGCTTAAACAATRGAAGACAGTCTTCTTACTCATACAGACAATTGACTTTTAATGTACAGACAACAGCTTTCCTTAAGCATTACCATCATCATGGGTTCCTTCCCCAATGGGAATCCCAACATACACCATGACATTAACAGCATCGGACACATCCAAGTGCAGGTTTGTGGTACCAACTCGTCTGTCTTCTGCAGTAATTAAGCCTGTAATGGAGTACAAAAAAAAAATAATCTGTGACTAATCTCTTATAGAAATAACCAACATGAAACATCTTTCTAGAAGACTAACTTCATGCATCAATGAGAGCACTAGACCAAATTCAAACAGTAACTGAAATAGGTATATTCATGTGACGTGAAGCGTAAGTAAAAAGTTCATCGATAACTAGTATTTTAACTTTACAGGAAACAGAAGTAGCAAAACTAGTTTATCTAAGTCACGAAAAAACAAGCATTTTAAAACCAAAGCCTGAATTTGTACTTTACAATTTTGTCTGTCTGAGGGTCAGACAGACCCTCATTTATTCAGTGTGTATTGGAGAACTTAGCTATCGTAAGCCCATAGCTAGTCCTCCTTTGCCTGGAAACATGAGAGAACTGCTTTAAGTGGCATTAGCATYCTACTGTGTGCAGCAAGTCATTGGACTATTAAGCCTCAAGCAGTTTTTTATTTTGTCATACTAAGCTGTAAAATCCATGACCAGTTGAACTCGCAGCAGTTAGTGATCGACTCATTGTTAACAATTCAGATTACAATTCAGTAAGGAGAAAACACCTGCAGAYTCAAGTGCTTGTACCTATACACATTGAATGAACCTACACCTCCAAGTGACTGTAAGTATTGGAGAAGGATTTTAAATGTTTGTTTCTTAATTCTTTCACCTTCTTTTTAAGATATTCCTCTCTTTTCCTCTGACCGTTTAACAGYACCCTCTCTTTCTACTTCTGCTTAACAATCTCTAGCAACTAACATAGTAGGGAAGTAAAAAAAAAAAATCTTTGTATTGGCAAACACTAATAGAGGTCTGACCACAAGATTTTTTAGGATCACCATCATATTTATCTGTTTTCTGTTAAAATACACGTTTTTGAAGATAGGAATTCAATTCACTGAACAGTACCTATCATAACAGACCAGAAACAGTAGCTAATATAGACACTCTGTAACATGAACTTTAAAAAAGCACAACTAAAATACAAACATGGAGAAACACAATACATAGGTCCAAAACCCAAGCCAGGCAAATTCACCAAAGACAGATTCATTGTCAACCTCAAGGGCCCTTACAAGCTCCACCTCAAAACTCTGCTTCACAAGATGTAGCAGGGCAAAAGGAAAGAATGACACTTTTAAAATTAATTGTTTGCTCATGGTCTAAGTCACACAGAGTATGCTGGGAAATACAATTACATCATCAGTGGCAASTCTCATGACAAACAGTTAAAGTATTTCTATATAAAAATTGGTCAATATTTAAGGGTCCTCATACACAAAAGATTTCTTCCCAGCTAACTTCTATAAACAGTCCTTTTATTTAGGTAACTGAGTATCACTATGAATCAAATTTCAGTCAGAATTTTTGTATCTTAATGCTTTAAAATGMTAAGCACATGGAAGACTTCACTATTGTGAACTTTTTTTCACTACATACTCTGCAAACAAAGCCATATTTTTACAGCTAAAATGTATTTAAGTTTCTAGAAGTGTTACTCATATTCACCATAGACAGAATTGCTGTTTTTATACCAAGGTCCACGCTTTAATTTGCCTGTAATGCAGCTAAGAGCAAAAAGATACAAACRTATTTTTGAAGACAGATCTAGCTAATTTTTTTCCTTTCATTTCCAAGTAAATAGTTTAATACTGTCTCTCTTTGGACCAAAACCTACATGTCCAAAAAGGATCAAATAGTAAAGGTTTATGATCTACGCTAAGAAAAATACTGTCAAGATCCCTTCCACAAGCTCTGATACAAGGGAAAATAAAACTTTGACGTTTAAGATAAATTCAACAAAATTAATCCATTCCTTCCATTGATAGCAACTAGCAATATACAGAAACCAGTCAGAAGTGACTGATTTCATTCCTTCTTGCTGCATTCTTATTTATGCATTGCTTGATTACATTGTAAGCTCTCTAGTGTACAGACCCCTTCACGGGTCTAGCGATAAATAAACCAAAGCACTGAACACTATTAAATACTGGAATAAGCTCAATTTGCCTAAGMTACAACCCTCTATTTAATTTTTACTTGTGATGTCATCCTGCAAAAAAAAAATCCAAAATAACATCACATCTCTTAGAACTGCAACATGTTCGCTTACAGCTCAAGTCTAATCCACATTTGATTACTGAGATGAAACATTTTGTAAATGAYGAAACAACGAAAAAGCTTCCATGACCTTGGGTCAGTTATTACTCTAAGTATAACAATAATTGGAACGCAAAACCTTTAAAAACACTGCACCTGTCTCACCAACATTCAAAGAAAACAACACAAACTACATCAGGGTAAGTTTGCTTCCACATACTCGCTGTGCAAGATGACTGCATTTTCCTTGTCAGTACTGCTTGACATTTTACGGTATATACAAAAAACAGCTACTTTAAATATTATTTATCTTATTCTAWAGCTGCAGAAGTAAGTGCCTTCAAATCAATCAGCTATTTAAAAATATCCTGGAACTTTAACAACCGTTCGTTTTAAMTGAAAAGTCTAAAAACCTGCTTTGGGCCATAATCTCAAAGTCAGTACACTCAGGAACTAAAATAATTAATGTCATCCATTTTTGTTCATATATCCTCCACACAGCTATATTACAATCATTACAAAACTTCATGCTTCAAAAGGTCCGTGTAGAGTATGTGCTCAGTTGTATGCTGTTTACCTGCTAAACAATTAGAGAGGACAAACTCTCCAAATCAGGCAGCTGAAAATAGTGACAGTTTTGTTTTGCATGTTGTCTGTAGTCTGTTTTATTAGACATGGATTAATAAAATGACAACTCTGGTTGGAAACATGAGGGAACAGGTCAAAGTGGCCAGGTGAGTAATTTYCCTCTTAAATGTATCAACTGGTCTCAAAAAGATACTAACTTTTCCTTGAAACCTGTAYTGGTATTATGTTCATTAAATGTATTAATAATTAGTTGCAAACTTAAATTACCAYATGTACATCTCTTGGATATACAAGGCAGAGAAGGGAACATCTGACAAAGACAGGACTAACGTAAGAATAGATGCCAGGACTAAATGGAAAAAAGAAGAAACGGCAGCCTCTAGGATGCACTGAGTTTTGACTAATGCTGCAGCCTCGTATTTGCCCTAAGTGAAATGAAAAGTTACAAAACACTGTATCGGGAGAACTACACTCACATACCATAGGCATTGTACATTTTGGGACCCAGATCAGGGCGGACAAAGTAGCTTGGCAGCCTAGAAGCCAAATTCAGTCTGCCATCTCTCTTGGTATATTCAGGAAGAGGAAGATTTTCCATCAAGTCCTCAAACCTAGAAAGCAAAGAGAGACAAAGGTGGGTATCCTTCCRTAGCACCTACAGCAGTCCTGTCAGYGTTGATACTAAAGCTTAYTTACCTTGTAGGCATCATATCTCTGAARTCCTCCCCTGGAGGCCAATCCTTTAACTTTAGTACCATAGGCTGACCATCATCTGACCTGAGCCGTTCTGCAAGAAACAAATTAAAATTTCTTCATGTATTATCTTTTTACCACAGCCCACTACCTTGTTAAAGCTGTAAGGGTTTTTGTACCTCTTACAATACACAGCAAAATGGATCCTGGTTTTGTTTTGGACTTCCAAGCATTATCACAGCATGATCAACAACAGTTTAACAACTATATATAGACAAATATAGAYATAATTACCTACAGCAGAAGTCTGACAGATCTTGCACAGCTGCCAAGTTTTAGAATGGTTTCTATTCAGCTTCAAAAACAAGCCTTTCCAAAGCATTCTTGCTTACTCCTTTTACTAGAGTCTAAGGTAGTTTTCAATTTCAAGAAAAGTGGTACTTCTGTAAAATTAAAGTTATTGGTTCTTGTTCTGAAATGAACCCTAACTGTAGTGTAAAGCAAGAAACYGTGGTGCAACACATTCAAAAAAGCTAAAGGGCAGGTGGCCACAAAGGAAGATGGCCTTTAGTTTTTTTAGTTCTTCTCTGCTGGAGGCACTCAAATTAGCAGAGTGCCAAAACCAAACATCTGCTCTTCACTTTAAAAATTTTTACATGAGTCCTGACTGGAAACAGAAAGCTGGCAGCACAGAAAGATGGTATTACCTAAGCAACAGTGCAGATATGCTATGACAGCACTGACCGTATCAACTGCTCTTTTACCTCAGGTCTCACAAAGGCTAWGAGAGTCTATCTGGAAGTGGTACATGAGCAACTTAGAGATCAGTGTAACATTGAGAGAAAAACAAAATTCACTCTTTTACCAGATTTTTCACAACTCCAGATAAAGCCACCTATTGCAAAACAAGGTGTACAGCAGTCTTAACACTTCAGCATCCCCATTTCCCCACAAAATAGCACCCTTCACTGCTTCCAACCTTACCAAGGATTGTCAGCCAAACTGATCTGGCAGATCCTAACAGCATCAGAAGAGAAAGCATATCTAAGAAATTAGGACTCKGAGACCTGCGAATCACATCTGCATTACATATCAACAGGCTACAGAATACAGCCTGAGTTTGCAATATTAAAACATATTTTATTGAAATTAAATGCAGATATGTAAAAAGTGACTGACTTGAAGATAACAAACTTTGACAAACTACAGATTTTAGAGAGGCAAGCAAACTTAAAAGCTTGAGGACTTGAATTCAAAGATGTTTTGCAACTTCCCATATTCAAGATTTTGAACTTATCAAGGATCTTTGTTCTAAACAAGAAGCAGCTTAGAGGGAGGCTATTCAGAAAGGACAGAGGGAAGAATTACCTGGATGAAAACATACAGATCYGACAAATTATATGAAACTGGACAAACCCCAGCAAATCAGCAAAGAAAAGCAGGTGTAAGACGGATGGAAACAAAAAGTCAGACCTTTCAAAAGTCCACTTTGAACCCAGAAGTATTAAAAGAAACAGCACAAGATGAAAATTAATTAAAACATCRTATAGAATAATCTCAATGACAGCTCCAAAGTCAGTGGCTGTTCTACATCCCTTTGGTAATYTAAAGTGAGGGCGAGAGCCAGCCACGTATTTCAAAAATTTGGAATTCATTTAATGCAGAGAAGTCAGAGACATTAGGTAATTTGCTAACAGTTTTCATAAGAATTAGCATATGAAACCTCTGGACTAGTAGCAAATAACACTCCTCTACGCTAGGGATTATCAATGGCCAAAAAAACTTGTAAAAGGAACTATCAAGAGTGAWAAGGTTTTCAAATTTCTCATATAAAGTGTGGTAAAGACATTGTCYAAAAGAAAAGCAGAAGCTGATTTTGCTGAAAGGAGCACATTTGTCTGGAGACAAACTACAAACAACATTTCTCAGAGGTAAYTTGACCCATACAAATTCATTATTTTCATGAATGACCCTAGTACAAAAGTGAGGAGTTTGTGAACTTTCCCAATTACTGTCAGTATACGAAAGACCACAACATTTTATCCTTCTAGGTCATTTATTTCTGATTAATAACAAAAACGGTATGAAATTTAACAGTACAAAATACAATACTCTCTACTAACCATATAAAAAACAAGTCAAAAGCCAGGAGTTCTTTGGAAAACAACTAGGAAAGGAATATTCTCRGCCTGCAAATCTATCATTTCATTGACTGTTGAATGAACTGTCAGCCAACAGTTCACTGTTTCTGAAATATGCATATAGCAATAAATACAGGAAACATTTTATACAACTCTAAAATCAGCAACATTTGCAATGAACCATTACAGCTCTAACATCTGTAACTGTATRACCGCTTGGATCTAGGTATGTACAATCTAAAACGGAGCACTCTGTTTTCCAGAATCTCTTTAACCTGACCAGTTATGTCCCCTGAAATTTTAGCTGATTAGTTTCCCCATCCACACTCGACGGAAGGTTTTCTCAAAGAAGAACTCAAGCATTAAATAATGTGTTATCATGTGAGGCAGGCATATAGCATTGCTATTCATAATACATATGAATTTGTATTTGTACTCACAGATGATCTACTCCAAAAATAATTTGCAATACCAAATTTACTTGACTGATTTATTCCACCAAGTACAAGTTTTAGCAGTTTATCAAAAGTCTCAGCCTGTTTTAGCTCTTTGGGTTCCCTTTAGTTGTACAGTAAAAACAGTTTGAAAGGAGAGCAAGGGTAGACACATTAGTTACTGTCTTAATAACAGTAACCGATGATTAATTTCACCTGGAGAAGTTTAAAAAAAAAAAAAAAARRAAAAAAACTAGCTTCCCATGAAAAATCACTTTTTGACACAAGAAAGTAACAAACACTAACACGTAACAGCACAGACAGTTCTTYTGGGCAGTCCTGCCCTAATCTTCACCAACAAACATTTTCTAAGGTGTGCTACATGTAAGGAGCAATGGCTTCTTTGGATGAGACTGACAGGTATTCGGACTTTTTCTTGACTTATTTTTTAGGAAAATAGGTGGAAAATGAAGAGTTGAAGCAAGACAGACTGCTCAGTAAMACTAATCAGCCATAAATATTACTTACTAGATATTATCTCAAAGCCATCCCAGAAGTCACGCACTTTCACGTCTGAAATTATGGCACAGTTCCTGCAGTTCACCAAATCTACATCTTGRTCTCCAAATTCCAGGCTGAAAGCTTCTGGTTTCCAAAGCTCTGACTTCAACTTCTTATGGACACCAGATACCAGCACGGGCTGAGAATACAAAGATGAATGCTTACTCCACCATAACCAAATTTCTTACACATGCAGCCAAACTTTCTTAAGAGCTGAGACTCCTGGCTACCACCATACAAAAGACACCACAAATCTATTTCATCCATGTCTGGGTTTTGTGCATCAAGCAAATAACCGGAGACAAAGCAAACTTGAGTTCCACGCCATGTGCAGTTGCCTTGGAAGAGGCATTGCATTGGACTTGCCAAGGCAAGTGCATTAGCTCCCCATGGGCGGGTGTTGGCAGCAGCGGCAGCGGAGGCTCAGTGAGAGGAGGCTGGGAGCTGCCCCATGGTGGGCACAGATGGTTCCATCTGGCTCAACAGACCCATCACTAGCCAAAGCTGAGCCCATAACTGATGCTGGCGGCATCTCTGKGATAATGAGAAGGAAAGGGTAAAAAGTTCTCCACCGCTGCTGTGTGTGTGAGAGAGAAAGAGAGAGAGAGGCACRGGGACACACATGACACATGGATAGCAGGCAGGGAGAAGGGAGAGAAACAGCTSTGCACACACCAAGGTCAGTGATGGAGGAGGTGCTTGCAGCCYATTGAAGAGTATGGTGAGGGCAGGCTGTCCCCCTGCAGCCTGCAGAAGATCATGGTGAGGCAGAGATCCACCTGCAGTCCGCAGAGGATCCTGCACTGCAGCAGAGGGATATATCCTGGAGGAAGCTGCAGTCCATGGAGAGCCCATGCTGGAATAGGCTCTGGCAGAAGCTGTAGGGAGAATCCCATGCGTAAGGAAACTTTCTGGCAGAAATTGTGCCCACTGGGCACCCACACTGGAGCAGCCCAYGAAGAGGACTCATGTTGGAGCCATTCATGAAGGATAGTATCCTGTGAGAGGAACTCCACACTGAAGCAGGGGGAAAGTGTGAGAGGGAAAGAGCAGCAGACCTAGTGTTAGGAACTGACCACAACCCCCATCATCTCCCCTGTGTCACTCCAGGGATTGTGGGGATGAGGAGGTGTAAGAGTCAAAGATGAGAGAGTAAAGTTGAGCCTTTACGAAAAAGGTGAAGTGAGGGGCACAGGTAAGGTGTTTACTAATTTTTGTCTTTGTTCTCTAGCATTCTACTCTACTTTTAATTGGTAATAAATTCAATTCCTTTATCACAAGTTAAACCTGTTTTGCTCATGACAGCAATAACTAAGGAATCTCCCTGTCTTGACCCACGAACTTYTTCACCTTATTTTCCTCTCCTGTTCTGTGGACAAAGGGGAGTGAGAAATCAGCTGGGCAGATGGGTCTGGCAGCCAGACAGGATTAATTCACCTGTGGCAGTACATGAGGTGTAGAATCCCATCACCTGTCCTTTTTTTTAAGCATAAATGCAACGACCACTCAAAACAGCATATGTAGTAAAGCCTTCTCATGTGAAAATTTTCATATTTTTGTATTAATTAACTATTTCACTCGTTATTTATGTATAATCACAGATCAACAATAATTCTGTAGAAAAAAAAACAAGTAGCAGGAAAGAGGCTGTTCGCTTGCAAAAGGGGTTTTAAGATGTTTAGGCTAACGATGTACATATATTCCATGCATATTTCAGTGGCCTCTCCCCATAAACACTCAAAGCATTTGCTGAACTAACGACACTTGGAAAAGGTATACCAGACAATCCTCCCAACATCGCCAAAACTTGTTCARTTCCTCTCACCCTGCTATCTCTAACAAATTACCAGACTTGAGAGAAAATTAAAYGAAGGTATGAGGTGAACTGGCACATTGACTATTTCCACCTGCAGGGCTCTAGCTTTAGTAACTGCTACCTACGTTCAAATGACAGTTCCTATGTCTATGCAAGTTGGAATTAATTCCAAGCTCTGCCCTATATATTAACAGTGTAATGGTGGGTGTCTTAGTTTATTCACATGAAGAACTCAGCACAACCCCATGAAGCACAGATGTCCCTAGACGCAGTRTAAGTGCATTAGGCAAAGATAGCTATAGAGATATATGCAAGCGACCCTAAAGTTATGCTGCTTAAAAACACTCCAGTAACTAAATGCTGCTTCTTTTGTATTGCCCAATGGTCTCTGGAAGGACTAGTTTTGAATTTGGTCCTTAACCAAGGACAACTATTGATTYGGAAATGAATGGAACAAAAACCCAGCTCAAGGCCAAGAAATGGCCTTGGTTTTCAARTACAATACAACATAGCCGTAAGTTCTAGAGGGCAGCAATGAAACCTCAACTCCAGAAGACTGAGATGTAGGAAAACAAAAAGGGGTTGTTACTTTACTCCTGTCAAATATCAGGGGAACAAAAAAAAAGCAAAAAGTCCCACAGAAACATTTAGGTTGGAAGCAACTACMTTCACACCAAAWAGAAGTGTTTTCTTATGTYGAGGCTGAACTTTCTGCACCCACTCCCACTCATCCTGTCAGTGGGTATTGCCAGGAAGAGCCTGGCTCCCTCTTAAGATTTCCTCCCCACACTCAACTGAGCYTTCTCTTCTCTGGGCTGAACAGTCCCAGCTCCCTCAYGTAAGTGATGCTCCAGTCCCTTCATCATCTTMGTGACCCWTYGCTGGGATTCCTCCAGTATTGTCCACGTCTGTTGCACTGGGGAGCCCAGAACTGAACACAGTACTCCAGGTGAGGCTTCTACCAATGAGCAGGGGAAGGAAAAGGGAGTCATCACTTACTTTGATCTGCTGACAACTCCCTTTGTCATGAGGACACATTCTTGGCTCATGGTCACACCCTTGCCCACTTGGGACMCAAAGATCCTTCTAGGCAAAGCTACTTTCCAAATGGCTGCTTCTCAGCACCTGCTGCAGGATGTTGTTATTCCTGAGGTGCAGGACGTTACATTTTCCCTCKGTGAACACCACCAAATTCTTCTCAGTCCAATTCTCCAGCCTGCTCAGACCCTCTGAATAKCAGCATAACCATCTGCTGTATCAGTCATACCTCCTCGTTTTCTCCTGTCTGTAAATTTTATGTCTATGAACCCTATCCCATCTAAGTCACTAACAACATAATAAATRCTACTCATCCCAAAACTGACCCCCWRTGATATACCACKGTAGTGATACTGTAGCCCTTGCATTAAAATGACTGAAATGCCATTTCAGTCAGTGTTAAGTCCATCACACAACTCACCAAGTCTGTACTTCAGTTTGTCTGATGACATTATCACAGTGTTTAAAAAACCTTATTAAAGGTAACATAAAAAACATCCAGTRCTTTCCCTTCATCCACCAAGCCAGTCATCTCATCACAGAATGCTAAAAGGCAGGTTAAGCATRATTCAACCAGCATTCCTGAGCTGCTCTTCTCTTCAGGACCATATACCCCCATGGGATTCTTCCAATCAAGTACTTGAAATTGTGAAAGTCTGCTCTCCTAAAACCTAGATTTGTGATCGTGTTTTTTTGCTTTGCTCCCTCCTCAAAATCTTGATTCTAATGCCACCATCTAAGTCACTGCAGCCAAAGGTGTCCSCCATCTCCACATCAACAACCAGTTCTTCCTTGCGTGGAAGCATGAGGTCCAGCACACGCACCCTCCCCTAGCCGTTTTCTTGATCGGCTGTCTCAGGACATTAACATCAATGCACTTTAGGACTGCTTGTGACCTGCTGTGTTGTTCCTTCAGCAGGTATCAGGGTCACCGAACGAGGCCCAGGAAATGTGAACACAGGGCTTCCTCCAGTTGTATGAAGATGACTTTATAACTTTTTTACGGTCAGTGGGTTTGTAGTAGATATTTGCCCCGATGTTGTCTGTGTTAGTCTGCTCACTGATCCTGGCCATAAGGTCTTAAATGACTCATTATCAGTTCCTACACAGTTTCATGCATTCTAGCTTCTTCTGCACATACACAGCAATGCTCTCTTCTCACCTTCCTAGCCTGTCATTCCTGTGTTGTCYTTCCTGAACAGCATCTACGTATTCCTTCCCACACTACAGCTGCATGAGCTAYCCCACCACTCTGTCACACCAATGAGACCATGGCTGTGCAACTGCACCTTATTCCTCCTGTTTGTTCAATGTGTTATATGCATTAGTATACAGGTACTTCAGAAAGATATCTAGTCATGTTGATTTCCCAGAAACAGTATGAGAGCTTCCTTCACAATGATGTGATGCACACAGATCCTTACAATGCATATGCTTCAGGTGGACGTCTTTCATCCTTGGTTTCTCGAGTATGAGATTTCCCTCTTCACATCACCTCACACTGCTTGCTTGCCAAACCAATCAACTAATTCCTTCCTTGAGCACTGGCTATACTCTCCCCCTCCCTTGTTCCTGCTTACAGCTCTCCAAATAAGGCTGGCCAGTTGGTTGGCACAGATGCCTTTTTTTTTTTTTTTTTTCTTAGATGGATCCTATCTCTTCCAAGCAATCCACAATCCCCAAAGAGGTTCCCACTATCATAAAACCTTCAAAACCAGCTGTGCAAACAATGGTTGACATGCATGATCTCTCCACCCCTCTACCCCTCACTGGCAGGACTAAGAAAACCGCCAGGGCTCCATGGCCTTGATTAATATTCCCAGAGCCATATAGTTGCTCTTGATGCTGTCCTGGTCTCCCAGTAGTAGTGTGTTTGCCAATATGGAAAAGAAGCAGAGGGCACATTGAGGTATTTGAGGGACAAGATAATCTTTGATAGTCTTTCCMCTATGCCCTAAATGTGAGGCCCTGACAAGCAACAAACCTTCCTAAGACAACAGAGCAAATACAGCAATCTCCAATTTTAATATATTTCCACATCACAGTAAAAATGGTGACATTAAGGCTATAAAAAAGTTTTARCATGTTCTACAAAAAACACTAGGAATCATGAATGACGAGTGAAATAATAGTACCTTTCACAGGATGCGTGGAAAGCATTGCCTGGTACACTTTAAGCCACAGAAAAATAATGACAGATTTTGATGCCTGCTGTATTCACTTGACCACTTGTAAAGAGCAATTAAACGAAACCCCAAAACTACCAAGCAATTAACTTAGTACAACCCTTCCTGCTACTAAGCAACAAATTTATCACAGTAGAAAGACGATGTTCTCTTTAGTGTAGAACACAGCTAGGGTTCCATGATAAAAGGACAGTGAACTTGCCTGGTAGACATTCCCTACSAAATCTGCTCTCAAACTATAGGGAGATAACAACAACAACAACAACAAAAAAAAAAAAAGCTCCAGTACCATTCCAGATTTTCAGTGTCTCAAAAAAAAGAGAAATCCTATCATGAAAATTCAGAAAATAACAGGTTGCAATAGGACGAGAGTCTTAACAGTATCCAGCTAAATAACGAGTGTTTACAGGAGAGCAAAATGCTCTTGAAAAACAGCTTCAGCAAGAATTAGTCTTATGGTCTCTCAGTGAATTCTGAGATAAGACAGAGTTTAACTTATTTCTGACAATTTCCAAGATAAAGGACACAAAAAATGTTGCTCTTTTTGAGTGCACTGARGGAGTGCAATTTATTGTTTAAGCAYTAAGGGAAAAGAATTTTSTCTTTTAACAATTTGGGATGCCACTATAGCCAACATCTTTACACGGCACACATGTAGTGTCCAGTGTGCATTTATTGGGGAGGATTGGGGAGGGTGGCTAAGGGGTTCTTTCCAAACAACCTTTTCCAGACCACAAATCAGGAAGAGGGTTTGGGGAATGGTGGGAGAATTAATGTTCTCTCACTTCACTTTTAAAGGTGCAGCTGGCTTGCTATGTAAGCCAAGCAAGAACTGCGATGGAGCAGAGTTTCTTGAGAAGGTCTCCCCCTGAAGAAATTGTGCTCAAAATAACCTTGTTGAGACAGTAATGCCTGCCTGGGTCACATGCTTTCTTATATGCACGAACAAGGGAAGTTCAGTTAGATTCCTTTCCACATTTCAACAGCAAACTCAAATGAGTGCAACACCACCTCGAGGATCGCTGAATGAGCTAAGGTCACCTGAATGATAAAATGATCCAAAAAGTATCAATAGCACACCTCCSGGCAAAGCCTAAAACAGCAGGTCACACAAGCATGGCAGCTGTAGCCAGAGCCTCAGGGTGTGAACCAACTTGGACAGCAATGCACACTGCAAACTACACATCAGACACAAGATTGGTAATCACATCTCTAAACTCATAMGAGGTCTCTCGAGACTCATTGATAGTCAAGAATTCCACGGTCACAAACAGCAGCTTGCACATGGTGATTAACTTGTCTCACTGGTAGAGAAACTGACAAGCAGTTTTTGTAGGCATTCCCAAAATATTTAGGATCCTCCTAAGAGAGAGATTAGTATTTCCTGACAGAAAATGTTGAGAAAATTATCAGAGTATACTAACTGGAAACTAAGGAGCTCTTTCCAAAGAAAGGCAGAGGATGAACACTACGGCACTGCAAAAGAATCATCTGAAACCCCTCATAAATCAAAAAAATGAAACTGGATGAAAAATAAAAAAAAAAAGAATAAAAGGAAACTCCTAGGCATCCCAAAACAGTCAGGACAGGAAGATAACTGCAGTTAGTGGGAAGCTGGCAATGAAGTTTCTAGTCAGACAAGCAGGGGTGTACTGCACAGTACTTTTCTCCACCTATTAGGAGCTGGCCAGAGGAGTCATGAACACGAATGCAGCCGGTGGCACAGCTTCCATCTTCTCAGCTCTCATGGCTAGGTACTGGTTATGCTTGTGTCCAGAAACTATGCTTGTGGAACCCAGAAAATGAGCAGTCCCATGGGATAGGCTACACTTAAATGAAAAGTACTTCACTTCTGACAGAAATAGACTTTGAGGTGCCAAAAGAGGTACATGCAGCCTGTTCTTCCAAAACACCTCAGCATCTCATGAACAACCGCAAATAAGTATGGAATGTGACTGCCAAGCGCATTGGCATGTAACAACAGACCACCTGACAACAAGGACTTCTCCAGAAAAGATGATGAGGGACCTAACGGGCTAGCACTAATCGTCTCAATTCTGAGTAGTTAGTGAAGGTAYTGAAGCTGCAGAACCAAATGCCAAGAATAGTTTGAATAATGGTGGACATCATCCTCTGTTAGAGCTATGGGCGCACTTCCTTTGCAGCAGCAATTACTCACCCACTTTTTAAGATTCAGCTTGTCCRCCAGGCTGATCTTACTGACTCTCCGGAGAAGTCTTAAGCTGCAGCACTACAGACCGAGATCTGAAAAAGTGGCTATGCTGTCAGCAGTTCTAAGGTACAGTCTGTTGTCTGAAGGCCTAGCCATTTGATGGCACCTCAGACAATCCATGAGAGTGCTGTGTGCATCAGTTGCTGAGTCCAAAACAGTACTTGTGTTCCCACTAGCTGTAGGGCTCAGGGTGAGATAYGGTATCAAGTACACCCAAAATTCAGTCAACTACTGCATGCAAGGAACAGACCTTTCCCTGAAGCTATCTATAAAGCATCAAGTGCGGGTAAATGCTAAGGTGCACACAGGAAATCAGAGTGGATTGATAACTGGGCTGTAGTACAGCAGAGCAGGTTCAGCACAAAGCACACTACAACTAAAAAGGCTATCATTGCAAACACTCTCATCATGGTRCGCTGAGCAAAGGGTTCTCAGTTCTATGCAAGAGAACATGGGCTCGAGTCAGTATTGCACAGAGTAAACAGGGTGGCTATGTCCCCCGTTTACAAGCTGAAATGTTCATTCGCCATATTCACTCGGGAGCAACTGGCCAAGGTTTGAACAGACTGTTTTTATCAAGGTACAAACTGCAATTTCAGGATACTTACAAGCAGCAAGGGATGGATACTTTTCATTCACTYACCTGGCCTTGCTTCCAGCATTCCCTGAAGATCTTCCAGTTGTTTTTGTTGCTGGGATCGTGAAGGCAAAGAAGTCTACCATCACACAGCCAAGAGTGGGAAGTGTGTGGATCCAGCACATTTAATCCCATTACCATTTCCTTCACCTCTCTCTGCGTGTCAGCTAAATTACTAGCTCGTTTTGCACCGTCAGATGTCTTCTTATTTTCCACCACAGAAGCAATGATATGGTCCAAGAAGTTTGGCAGGCTGGCTTTACCTTTGGCCCCCTAGAAAAYGTAAATCGAGTTTAGAGTTAAGAGTTAAGTTTAGTCTTGCAACAGTGTAACATATAGCTGCTCTCCTTCAAGTCAGACACCTTGCTACCAGGAAACAAACTGGCTCAGAGACAGACATGTATCTGAGTAAGAAGAGAAATGTGACTCTGTTTTACAATGGTAAAAGTTAAAATAACTAACTAYAGGCTATCTAGAAAAATATGACACAAACAGACGTGATTCAGACTCCAGATTCCCAAAACGACTTGAAAATCCTTCAGAGAGGCTTTGCCTGATGACATCAGCAGCCTTCTGAAGATTCTTGGATGAATCCCATCAGGCCCTAGATTTGCAGGGATCCAGCAGATCGCACTCAAGTATAYTCTAGCTCAAATGCCTTTCAAGTATACCTAAGTTTGATGGAGGAGCTCGTTTACTCTTTGTCTTTTTTTCTGTGGTATGCTCTTACAATATTCTTATAGACGTGAAATTTAAAGTGAGCTTTTACAGGGATGCTGATTAGCAATCAAGCTACTTATAGGCTATATTTAACTATTTTTCTTGGTCTCTTGACTCCTCTCCTCGGCAAYAGTAAACTAAAACTAAAAATTAGCATGAAAACTCTCTATAACTTCATGAGGTGGTGAGTTTTGGTGAGGCATTACATTTATTTCAACATTCAAGAGTAAAATGCTAYAAAAACATGTAGATGGAAATTCTTCCCTAGAACAGGTATCATTGAAGAAACACAAAAGTATTCACCGTAGAAGCTGCAGAAAAGACTGGAGGAAAGGGGATTCCTGTGTCTGATGGGACCTGAGGAAGCTTTCCAGGCCCTGCGTGTAGCAGATCTCGGAGGCTTGAGCCTTCAGCTTTGTTGCTAGATGTCACTGGGCCCAACAAGAGGCTATTAAACAGCTTTGGGGTTAGCGGTGAAACTTTTGTACTGGAGTTGAAKGAATCCAATCCAAAGGGTGAGTGGGATTCTTTATTAAGCACTGACCTCAGTGATCCTGATTCTGCAAGATAAATATAAACATCATAGGGAGGGGTGAGGGGAAAAAAAACCCCAAGAGGCAAAGTTAAAATGATCACCAAGTTTTCTGAAATTATTTGCTCTTGCACTAAACGGGATATTAACAGAATCTTGCAGTAAAGGTACACTATCATTCTAACAGTGAATGAAGCACCTCAATGAGAATCAAAGAMATTAGATACTTCACAYAGATTTTACTCTTCGTATTCTGTCRAGGTTTTGAATAGCACAGATCTCATCAAAAAGGTCTTGCACACACAAACCCATTTTTTTTTTTAACAGATTCAATTAAAAACATTTTCCCAACTCTCTGAATTAATGTTTTGATATTAAGTATTTCAAATTTTAATGGTAGCCAAAATATTACAGGTGATTAAGCGCTGCAAAACTAATGAATGATTAACCAACATTTAAGATCAACATGCAAAGTAGTCCCRGTTAGACATATGGACAGGAATAAATCCTGTGCTGGTCATGCTACCTCTGACATCTAGGAAATGTATTTACTCAAATTACTGAGTATTAAAGATGCTATAAGCTTTTCTCTATCCTTCCATAGGGACTCTACTCCCAGTTCCTTGGAAATGCATTCTTCACATAGCACACAGCTCTTTTGTGTTTACTTCAACAGTTATAAAGTGACAAAGCTGCATCTGAAATAAACTGCTATTTCACAACAGGATATCAGCTTATGAGAAAATAAATACACAAACTGGCATAGAAATAAACTGTGAGTGACAAGACAGTATTGTCCTCAGCTGTACGTATTTCCAGCTTTGCCTTTTTCCAAGCCTGTACAACAAAATCGGTTCTAAGAGGCAAAGGAGGAAAAATTACCTCGTTCTTTTCTATTTAGGGCTAGACACACTGACAAAGTATAGCAATCAAACAGTACTTTATCATTTATATTTTAATTCCAACCYCAGAGGGCATTTCTTCTGCTCACCTTTTGTTTCCTCTTTTGCTTTTTGCGTTGCTAAATCTGCAAGCCAGTGTAAAGCTGACGATGGAGCTGTTTCTGGACAAAGTGGTCTGTTACTCTTTACTTCACCAGCRTTACTGGTTGGTAATGTCTCTGTTTTTGCAGATTCTTCTATCCTACTATCAGTTGCTTCAGATTTTGGTACAATGTCCATTTCTACTTGCCCCCCTCCTGCTGTTCCTGCTCCAGTGGAAAAGGTGCTCTCGTTTCCAGATATTGATGCACTGGGATTTACAGTCGGAAGCTAAAACAAAAAAGCAAACAAA